GTGAAAATGAGAAAGGGGCACAGCAACATTGAAGATCGTAGATATTGGCAAAAGATTGTAGAGCAAAATCCGTGCCTGGTCTTAAGGATGACGTGGTCTCAGTAGAGTACGGTTTCGGTGAAAACGGAACTACCTTAGCACATTACAAGTTCCTCTTTTAGTAACCCACAGGTGCGGAGGTTGACGACAAGGACGTAATAATCTGGCCATTTAAGTGAACCATGCTCCAGGCCAGAGCTATTAGAAAAATTTATTACACATTTTTGAATGATGAACAAAAGATGGAGCTAACCCCATAGTCACGAAGACCTGCTGTTCGATGAGGGAAACCAGCAACCTAAGCCACGGGACTTGGGGTGACGAACCACATGAGGCCCCTCTAGGATACGCGTGGTAATGACGCTATCACAGAGCACGTGTACTTGGCTATATGAGACCAAACGGATGAAGATGAATCGAGGTCATCGACCTGCTGTCCACGCGTATGATAAGGGTGGGGACTCCACATTTAGGGCGGATTACGGCTAAAAAAAAGGTGGAAACAAGTATAGAGATATTACGCTGATTAACCCATTATGGCACAAACTTCCGTAGAACTGAAACCCTTGCTTCCCGCAAGATTACACAGATTTCCGCTTGAAGGAGTTAGGTCAACCACAACAAAGGATAAAGCAACTTTATGAAGGACTGTTTATTCAGCGACAACAAATCACATTTTAAGTACAACGGTAAGAATTACGAATTTCCAGTTCAGCGGAGTGAGGCTCGACAGTTTCGACAAAAAGGAAGCGCAGGACCATTAGCGGTACCACAAGATCTGAAAGGTGAGGAAACAAAGACAGTATTAATAGTAATCAGGGAATGAGAAATGGGTACATAATCGATTGATGGTAATCTTGCTCACCTGCAAGTAATGACTCCAGCTCCACCACCTGGACCACCCATACGCATTCCGAGGCCGAGGCCACCCATCATTGGGCCGGCATTGTTGCCCATTGAAAAACCACTCGGCGACTGATTCTGCTGTGGTTGCATGTTCAAGAAGCCACCGGCAACATTCGGCCCACTTCCCAGCATGCCCGAACCGATACGTTGCATCTGCGGCCCGGACATCCGCATTCCCATGTTGGGTGAATTTTGTTGTCCAAGGGAGCTCTGCATGTGAGTGGAGGTGTTACCTTGACCTAAAGATGTCTGCGGACGAGGAGAGGCGCTGTTTAGGGACATAAACCGCGGGACTGACATCTGCATTAGTTGCATCCCCCCTGAGCCTGGGGTTCGCTGATTGCTTTGACGGGGCTAAATTGACAAAAGAGATGCATATTTATATTGCGAATTCCGAATATTTGAGTCCTAACATTATAGTATTTTAACTCTGAACTAAATGGGAGAACCAAGCGCGTTCAGCAAGGGCAAAAATTAAACCACACGAGTATATAAGGCGTTTCATACCTTGGTACCAAGAAACACCTCCAGTCAATGGTCTAGTGGTGAAAACCTATACTAATCACATACTCTGGACAGTAGATAAAATAAGGGGCAAAGCATTAGTTTAAAATACCGGACAATTGGTCATGTGTGTGGCGTTTATTATGGTTATAAAACTGTTTGTAAAAGGGTGATCGAGCTTGACAACCCAGAGTATACCGCTCTTTCTCGTGCACCAAATACAGCTACGACAGGGATTAAACGGTCCACAAAATACGTCTGTAAACTGTATTTTGCTGTACGATGTGGTGATAGTCAAGGGACCGGCTCCCTTGTACAATACAACACAAAACTGGAGGACCGTAAGAAAAAGTGAAAAGACGATAGGAAGGGTTTTCGCTTCACACCGTACACATTCGTTTTTTTGGTTGTTTTAGCTGGAGGAGTCATGGGCATCCCTAGTAAATGTTTACGTCCACAGATAACCTGCGAATGTTTAAGAGCCAAGTGAAGTGCAATATCAAGTCATCGTTTAAATGAAAAGGGGGTAACTTCGCTTGCTGAATTATTGGTAATGAAAAGGAGAAAACGACGCTTCTTACTGTATTGTGCTGTTGGTGACGTTGATTCTTCTGAGAGCGTTTTTGGTTAGATTCCTTAGTGGCTGTCACATTCGAAGCATTTGCGTTCCGAATCGGAGTGCCATTCGGCTTAGATGATGTCTTTGAGTTATCAGACAGGCTATCATCTAAGCGTGACTTCTTCGCTGAAGGGAGTGCCGAGCTGCGGATAAGGTTGCATTGAGATTAATATGGATGTGCAAAACAGCTCACGCGAGCCGCGTTTCGTGCATTTCTCTAGAGCGTACAAAACAATGAGGATAAACGTGGCCCAGAACAATGATTTTAGTCGTGCATTAACTGCAATTTCGCCCAGATGTGGTCGGAACCTTACGGCAAAAAGCACAATGCATCAAGGAACCACACAAACAATACAATTACAGAGCAAATGCTGACAGAATTAGCTAGATTAGTCCCGAAAATAACCCTGACAAAAAGTCGTTCGCATCTATCGAGGAAAAAATCCTCACAAAGAGGGAATCTTTGGAAGTTCCTTATCAAGGGGAATTCGACTACAGGGAAGAGACCCTGGTATCATTCACTGAGTCACCAGAAGTTGAAAGTTACTAACATTTTTGGGTGAAAGCCAGAGTGTATATATGGAATCCGAAATACCAAAAATGGAAGAGCCATACCTCTTCGCAAAGAGCCAAACACAATTTATAAGTCCATTTATTTGGTACATTATTTAATCTATGTAGTCTAATAGTAAAGGGACGTGTAGCATCCACTGAAAGGGTTGCGTGAGTGGCCCAGCAGTGAAAAACGACTCAATGACTTATATGATTAATTATGGCGAAGACTGGAGATGAAGGGACGTCGGTCAAAAGACACGTTCGCCACCAGAACCCGACCAAAAACTAGGCCACAGACACTGATTCATTGAAGGTGTCAAAGACGGATAGAAAAGGTCCATTAGACGACTTGGTAAAAATGAGTCGCATTACGCTAATCAAGGGAATACGGCATCGCACTGGGGGTGTTCATCAAACCGTATAACCCGATTGTCCTTTGACTAGTAAAATTTAAAAAATAAGGGACGAACAGTAAGACAAGCTTCTTTTCAAGTGAAAAAATGTGCAGATAAAATGAGTTTAGAGGCAAACAAACAGAGCACAAAGATAAAATGACCATTACTGTAACCCTCTTACCTAGAGGTTTCATCATCAGGCTCGCGGCCTGGGGACTGCAGCTTCCCTTGATCGGACGCTAGAAGTGACAGACGGGAGACGAACAACTGACTAGGAATCCACACGTATCCGTTACGACATTCAAACAATTACTGAAAAGTGGGCTGATGAGAATGTTTCACAGAATCCCATTACGACCGGTGAAATATTTTAGAATTGAAACCCAGTGAATAATCAAGAGTTCACGCCCCAGCATGCGCAAAGACAAGCAAAATAGAGAACCAAATGCTGAGATGGTCCCCATTCAGGGACTGACAAAAGAAAACCGAGACGAGCGAAATTAAAAGTGGCACTAGTTCTTGACCGAAATAAAGTTTATCATATGACCGGTAGAATGA